CGGCGCTGCGTGGTGGCGCGGAGAGGGGGTGGGAAAGCGGTCGTGGGGCTTCTGCCCTGCCCCGGGGTGCGCAGCTGAGCTCCGCGCTGCAGCCGGCCATAGCCTCCCGACCCAGCTTGTTTACCGCTATCGGAGTAGGGCTCAACGGAGCCTTGACTGCTGAACGGCCAGAGCCCTTTTGAACGCTCGGTCGTTTATCCTCGGTAAAGAAGCCGGGGCTGCATGCAGGCAATACTGTATCCGTAGAGGAGGAATGACTTCAGGGTTACTTGTGCTTCCAGATGGAAGTATGTGATCATTCTCAAAAGCAAGCAGTCTGATCAAAGGTGTTCCTTTTGCTTGTTGATACATAATAGGAAGAGTGTATTTTAGGTGGCTAAATAAATTCTGTGAAATGCTGTATTGCCATGTAGAATCAGTTTAGTATAGGAGGGTAATTGTTCATGTCCTGGTAGCTGAGCTTGTAGTGGAGTCTCTAGTACTTTCTGTTGACTAGGAAGCTTTGCTTAGCACAAGGCTGTTTAATGCTGTAGTCATTTTGCTGATAATAAATTCTTTCTATTAAAGGGTGATGGACCAGTGAAAGTTACTGGAAAAATCAGTGGCTTGGCTGATGGAGAACATGGCTTCCATGTCCATGAATTTGGGGACAATACAAATGGTAAGATGTCTATCCAAGCTTTTGAGTTACAGCTGTAATGTGATTGCTCAGCTTTAAAGAGCTTCTTTTAGTGTTGCAGCCGTAACTGGTATAGGTGTGCTTAGGTCTCATGACTGCAAATCTGTGTTAAGAAATGATGACATTTCCTAAGGAATTGCTTCCCATTTAATACTTTGAACATGTTTACACTTGTGTTCAAGATCTGACATATCAAACACTAACCTAAATACTTTGATACCCTAGTGTTAAAAAGCTTTCAACTGAGCCCAGAGTGTTCTAGAATGAGTAATCTTACTTTATGGAACTTGTAGGTCTAGAGTAGGTTACTCAACTCAAAGGATTAGTACAACATCTAACAGGAGAGTAGCTGTTTTGTCATTAGTGACTTCAGTGCCTCTGGCTGTAGGAGGACTACCTTGGTGCATACTGTAGAAGCAACCAGATTTAAACTGGCTGCTGCAAAAATCAACTTTTGATGGCTGCGTTCTGTTTCAGGGTGTACCAGTGCAGGTTCTCACTTCAATCCTGAAGGCAAGCAGCATGGTGGACCAAAAGATGCAGAAAGGTGAGTTTAATGTGCCTAGCCTCTTACTGGGTAGCTACTCCATGCAGTAGTATGTTGTGCTTGAGAGGCCATCTAAGCGCTATGTTGTGCTTGACAGGCCAGTGCATGACTAATGCTAGGACCATACCAGAAGAAAACTAGTAACTCCTGCTGGACTTTTAGAGTCACTTAAAGGCTCTGATAGCTGTATGGTGGTTTGTTAGACACCTTGGCTCCAGGAGTATTGGTAAAAATGTAGTCTTTGGGACACATTCTTGGTTTTGTCATAGCTTGGGGAGAAGAGGAAATAAAGTCTCTTGCTGAGTGAAGGTTCCTCAGGGTATGAGTAGGGGGAGTTCATGCATTAAAGCCTTATTTGGTCAGTGGTGGTTTGCTTCTGTTTTGGGGCCAGCTTTTGACAACAGAGTCCCTAAGTTGTCAGTTGTTGAGCTGGATGCAGGCTTGTCATGTGGCAGATCAGGATCATCAATGGAAGGTACTGAGGCTTCAGTGGAGACTACAAGATGAATACCAAGCTGTGTGCCCAGGCATGGTGGCTTTATTGGGTTTGCTGGGTTGTCTTATCCTGTTAGCTTGGGTACCATAGTACCTACAGTATGTAGTCCTTAGGGGTTGTGTGTGAGTACAGGGTCTGATGCTTACGCTGAATATCTCCGTACCTCAGTGGGAGCTCAGACCTAACGCTTTCCCTGGAAGCAGTTTTCATAGTCCAGTTACCTTCGCGGAACCCTTGCATGCTTGAGGCCTGATGTCTGAGCTGATGGGCTTCAGAGACTGTGAGGGGGCTGCGCAAGAGCTGAAGCAGGTAGAGGTAGGAGCAAGTGTAAAAGATAGGCTGGTCTTGCACGGGTAGGGTCTAGACCAGCACTGTGACCAGCTTGGCATTGTGATTAGCTTTTGAATGCTCACATTCATGTCTGTAACTGCACCTTCTGTGACTGATAAATTCATACCTGAGTGATCAGTTGCATGCCAGACCCAGCAAGCTGGCTGCTAGCCAGCTGTCTGGATGACAGAGCAGCATGAAATGGTTTGTGCTCATGGGCTTCACAGGCAGCCAGCTGCTCCAGTGCTCAAGGTCCAAATTGCATGAACATTGTGGCTTCTGCTGGTTCTGCCTTGTCAAATCCTGATTCTAGTGTAACCTGCCTGCTGGGGAATTCCTTAGGAGGGTATAAGAACTAGATTGTGCTTTTAGCAGTGTAGAGTTGAAACAATTGGACTGAAGCTTCCCAGAAGCTTAAATCAAGCAAACTGCTAAACAGAAAACTGACCTTGACCTGATTTTATAGGACTTGGTTAAAAATATGAAATTAGTGCTGTGCTGTCGAAGCAGCTGGTAGTCAGCATTCAGCTAGCTGAGCTGGTCATGTCACCCTGCATGCATGGAGAGTTTTAGAAACAAGTTGATATTCAAGGTTCTAAATCTGGATAGAAGAGTCTTGCAGAACAGCGGCTTGTCTTTTGAGTGGATGTTTTGTTTGGGGCAGTTGTGTAGGAAACAATACACTGGAATGTCCAGAATTTCAAACGGAACTGCTTGAGGCTTAATTCTTAAGGGAAGTCCTAGTGGAGATCTAACTCTGATTAGAAACTCTGTGGTAGGGTTTAATGCAAAGTGTATGGGAAAATGCCAGGCAAGCTTGAATAGTCATCCCTGGTAGAGATTAAACTTAGCTAGCACTTAGTGCCTCCTCTCTGATGTGTCACTTGGCAGACTGCTTTTACTAAGCATATTTAAACTGAAAGCCTGCTGCTGCTGGTGGAATAGCTGGTTTGTGATAACATTAAAAGCTCTTAACCATAGTGGCAGTATTTACACCATAGTGGCAGTGTTTACACCAAACCTTGTAATGTGCAGGAAAGGTTTTCACCTAATTTGAGACACCTTTGAGCAGAGGGAGATGCTATCAGTGTGGGGGAATTTTTGGCTATAGTTGTGCACTGTTGGCTTCGCTCACTGGGGCATGATGGCATTCCGTTCCCCAAAGTTGATTAACCTTCGAGTTTCAAGTTGTACCAGGGACTGAATTTTAATTGTACCTTGAACTAAAGGAGTCAAAATAGTGGAAGTGTTCAAGATTGATTGGTGGTGGTAAATGAGGATGTATGTGCTGTTGAAGGTGGTGGAGTACTTGAATGTAGTAACTATGGGTATTGTATTGTCCAGACCATCACTTAGAGCTTTCAATTCAACCAAGTTTTCTATGAGTTTCTCTGCATCTTTGTGTAGGCACGTGGGAGACCTTGGCAATGTGAGTGCTAAAGGAGGAGTGGCAGAAGTGGAAATAGAAGATCCCATCATTTCTCTTAGTGGACCACATAGCGTCATTGGACGTACCATGGTGGTAAGTGTCTTGGTGCCTGCTTGGATGCTTTAAGGAACTCTAGAGCAATCTTGCCAGGGAGCAGAGAGTTTTTGATGCTGGTGGCCAGTCCCTGGTGGTTGTTACAGAACTGGTAGTGCAAGATTTTCAGGATGAGGAGTTCTTTGAAGCCTTGCCTGGAGGTCTGCTGTGCATTAGTATGCCGCTTCACTGCCATGAGATCTTAATTTTCTGCCTGCCTTCTGAAGATGTTGCTCTCTGTTTAACTTTGCCTCTTCTAGCTGTGAGTGACTAAAGCAACCTGATTTGAGGAAGGAACTGGCAGTCTGGCACAAATGCTGTCACCGAAAGGCATGGCAATGGGCGCTTCCAGGCACTGTTCACTGGTACCGATCTGGTAGCTGGTGGTGTAACTTGTGCTGTGGCCTCCCTGGGAAGGAGGGAGGCAGAGGCTGAGTGGGCTTGGCTGCCCATGAGCGTTGTCAGTCTCGTTCCCCTTGGGACTCCAGTGTGTGCCGAGACCACAGTGTACACAGAACACTGTACTGGGTGACAGAGGCTGGGACTGATGGCCACGGCGCAGGGAGATGTGCGGTGTAGCCCTTGGGATGGTGTGGCCAAGGCCCTGCACTCGCAGTGCAGCGGTCAGTCTTGTGTTGTAAGGGCGACCTTGAATGTCAAGTCCTCCAAGCTTGCTCTTGGACTAGTAATGACTTTTCAAAATGTGGGGTTTTGGTGACTTCCTGTTCAGACAAATTCAGCTGAAGGTGACTCATCTTTTTAGACAAGTCTAGTCTTCAGTCCTTAGTGTGAGTATCAATCTGGCATTCAGCATTGCATAGTTAAAATAGGTTCCCTCTGTGTAACACACCCTGCTGGTAGCTGGTGATACTGCTTGTTGCTGCTGCTACTAATGTGAGTAGTGGAAAATGTTGATTAGTTACGCAATAACATGAATTAAGGTATCTTCAATTCTCTTTTTAGGTCCATGAAAAATGCGATGACCTGGGTAGAGGGGGAGATAATGAGAGCAAATTAACTGGAAATGCTGGCCCTCGTTTAGCTTGTGGTGTAATTGGAATAGCAAAGAGCTAAGTATTGTACCTGAAATGCTTAAGATGACAGTGATAAATGGGCTGTATTTCATTGCAAATGCTGTCCTTGCCCTTCCTTGTGCAAGCAAAACATTTATCACTTAATCTCATTACTACTCTGCATTCTGAGCATCACTTAAACTGGTGAAAACTGACTTAATTTTGTATGATGTATATTGGAATTAAAGTGACCCTGATGGAATGTCTCTGTAGTCTTCTGCTAAAGCATCTGCTGTAACCATTAAGTATAATCTTCACTAACTGGGACTCCTGTTCTGTGTAATGGAAGATGTGTAGTAGTGATCACATCCTGAACACCAAAACTTCTAGTATGCTGTGGGATTTGGAGGATTAGCCTTACAAGCTCTAGCATGACTACTCACCAAAGAGCAGTAGGTACTGTTGTATGTATTGAGGCTTCCTCCTGGTGAAGTTGCAGCATTTGTAGGTTTCAAACTTGTGTAATAAACTTGCTGGGCAAATACACCTTGGTCTTGCTGTCTATTAAAAAAAAAACACCCACCACACAACAAACCCCTACCTGCTGCTATGCTAACATGAAAAGTAGGCCTGGACTTCATCATGTCAGTAGTTAATTTGCTAGACACCAACAGTGTGCAAGTTGCTTCCAGCCAGTAACCCTGGAACAACAAAGACCTGAGATCAGTCAGTGTGCAAGTAATGAGAAACACTGTTGTATGTTTTCCTGTGACAGAAGCCTGTGTTCTGTGGCTCTGGTGTGCTCTGTGCACTACAGTTAGGGGCTTATGTACCTCAGGACAACTGCTGCTTTGCAGAAATACCTTTTTGCTGGAAAATGTTAGCAGTGTGTGACACCTGTGGCACCTGCTCCCATGTGACTGCGTGGTGTGTGTGCTTGCGGTGGGGAAGCCTTAAGCTTGCGGAAAGGTCTGGCTCTGGTGTGTGTCCTTGCACCTCATCTGGGCTGTGTGGTTGGGTTGTTCTGGGTGGCTGTGCAATGGAAGCCTGGATGCCTTGGGGAAGGCAGCTTTCTTTTCTTTTTGGTTTTTTTTTTTCCAAGCTGTGCAGGAGGGTCTAGTGTGGAACAGGTCTTTCCTTAAAAAGGATATACCTAGCCAGATGCTCTGTATTTAACTTCATAAAGCTTTTCAGCACTGTCATCGCTGTACACTAAGTGCTAGCTTTCATTATTTTCTTGTCTGTACCTCTTAAACAAGGATTTCAGAGTTTTTTTAATAGAGAAAATTACTAATTTTAATGAAGACTTGCATCAACATTCCTTCATCTTGTACCTAGAGATACTCATGGAAGTAGCTGGTTGTAGTTCTAGACAGCCAGATTCCAGTGTAGCGCATTACAAATGGAATGGCTTTTGGAAGTATAGCAAGAATACTGTAAAAACACTTTAACCTTAGTCATTGCAAACAGTGGTGTGTGCAGTCTCTACCCACCTGTACCTCTTCCAGGGGATTAGCCTATGCTCTGATTCAGCTGCTGCAGCAGAACCGAGGCAGCGACTGCACCTTTTGGCTCCCTCCCCCCAGCAGCGGACAGGGAACACCGACCGCCCACCACCAGCACCTCTTTGCGCCGCAGAAGTTGTGAGGATGGTTCTGTTGTCTCCCCTTTCCCAAAGCGGGGGGAAAAAACAGCAAGTACTTGCCAACTGCAGGTTGAGCTGTAGCGGAATGAGAGCTCTGGCAGCTCTGCTGCTCGCCTCCTCTCCCCACTGTTCTGGGTGCTGAACCTTGCTGCTTTGAAAGCCTGGTACATGCAGATCTTGACTTTCAAACCTGTTCTCTCTTGTTGGGTTAAATGTCTGATGGCACGCTAGCCTAGAAGTCAGTGCTGTGTCAAAGGATGTAGAAGTAATGCACTATTTATGTACCAATAACTGTGACTGGCAGGCATAGGCCCGATAACCAAGGTGTCAGCTGCTAACACTGTATTGTCTTTATCAGTAACAGATGCTTATGCTGAGCTAATTAATCTCCCAGTAAAAATTTATGGCTTGCCTTACTTTAAAGCCAGGAATTTGGTAGTTGTACAAGGGTGGGATAAAGCTACTCTGGTGATGCTGTAAAGATGAGGCATCACCAGTAGGTTTGTTATACAGTTACTGCTTCAGAAGGCAAAGGATGTCCACAGTTTTTGTAGGCTTTGTTTTCAATTTCCTAAAAAGGGAAGCGGAGAGAATGTGAGGTGGCATTTGTGTGAACAGATAAGCCTTCCGTCTCTTTCATTCTTGTCTTCAAATCTTTTAATAAAGTGTATTCATTAAAAAAAATCCTACCTCCTTACAGAATTACGGCAGTTTCTACTAAGACAAGTCTTAAACATAAGACATAAATGTCTGGCTTTGTATGAAAAAAGTTAGTTCCACTGGCCCAGCATGAAACAAACATTAAGGACACAGGTTTTAACACATGGAAGCTGAATTCACTACAAGTATGTAAACAGGTTTTTTTCTCTCTTTATTCTGCTATTGCAAGAACATAAAAATATATGTCCTCTCCCCAGTCCATAACTCCACACTTGCTTCCCCACCCCCCCAAAAAAAACCCCTCTGCTGCAGAGCAGCTGTGAAAAAGTACTGATGTGAGAAAGCTGCTGCCATTCACTTAGGGGGGAAAAAAAAAGCAACTTTAAAAGTAGAACACACCTATATCAAGGTAGGGGGGGAAAAAATTAAATATGCACAGGGTTCATACAATTTTTCTGCTGCGCTTCTAGAGTTAAGCAAGCTTCAGCTGCAGGCCTGCTGCCACCCAGGCGATCGACGGGCCAGCGCGTGTCAGGGCAGAGCTGCCAGGGCACCGCCGCCGCACGGTACAGCGCAGCTGTCTTTCAAAACTGCGCCTGAAGGGCCGACCACCAAGAACTAGTGTTTGCCCTCTTAAGATTACTGAAGTGATATGGAGAGAAGACGGCAAAACTTAAGACAGATACCAGAAAATGCACTCTTTTGTCCATCAGTCCCATAGGTACAAGGCTAGGTGGGTAAAAATTTTAAACCTACCTCTTGCAGGATTACAGGAGGTAGACATCGTTAACACTGACAACAGTAGCAGCCCAGACTGGCGTGAGTGAAGAGGCAGCATTTTAAAATCCTCGAGCAACCCTCCCGCCTCCCTTCCTTTTCCCAGCCCCACTTAAAAAAAATAGGTTAGCATTTTTATATTGTGTTTTGGTGTCTTTGATTTCTCTTTCACCCCGCTTTCCAAAAAGCATCAATGAATAACAAGTACAAAAAATGCTGAACTGACGTGCTTCCTAGCCCACCGCACACAGTAATTTTATAACATCACAAGCAGAGCAGACTGAGTATGTCTGAAGGTGTCCACTTTTTTAAAAAAAGGCTAATCAGGGCAACATTTACCACAGAACCAGGTGGGAGGGGGGGAAGAGAAAAAAAACTGATTGCATTGCAAACACTAAACAGTTAACTCTTCAATTAACAGTTTAAAACCACTAACTTCTACCTAGTATGGTCAAGTAATCATTAAAATGCAGCAATCTAAAAATCAAGATGACTATTACAAATAGAAATTTGCTTCTGTGAATAGCTACACAAACAGATGTATTTCTTTTAACAAATATAAACAAAACAGTCTAATTTAGACTCCAGTACAGCATTAACAGTTCAAACTTTAAGATGTTGAACACTCCTTTTCCACTTCAGTGCAGTGTAGGAAGAATAGCACACGTTAAAGTTTGTTACGAAAATAGAGTTTATTAAAAACACATCCCTATTGTTTTGAGGAGCTTTCACCGTTACCTTTTCTTAAATTAAAAAAAAAAAATAGAAAGCACTTCTACTTCTGATTTGTAAACTTTTTAAAGTCAAAACTTTAAAAAAGTTACAGCAAAAATGGGTAATATTTTAATCATATCTTCAGTATTTCATGTTATGTTGTGGCTATTTTAAATAGAAGGGAAGCAATCAAATTGCTTACAATTCCCCACCAACTACCGAGGGGCTGTGATATAAGCAGAAGCAAATATAATACAGCAGACTGTACAACTCTAAAGCTCTACACTCCAACAAATGTCACTGTCGTCTTTTGACAACTTCCAGTCCCTAGCGAGGAGCCTCCGCCACTGAGCCCATCTCCTTTTCCGCTTGTTCCACAGATGAGGTAGCCTCGGATGTTAACTCTTCCACAGGTTTTACACCTGTAGGTTCAGACTCTCCCGCGGCAAGTTCTGAAACAACATCCGCGTCTTCCATTCTGCCGCCGTGAGATTCATGGTTTTTGTCGCCATCTGCCCTGTCTGTCATCTCCGGTTTTTCCTTGCCTCGATTTTCTTCCTTGTCTCTGCGAGACTCCCTATCTCTCGAATCTCTCTCTCTGTCTCGATGGCCACTGGACCGCCTGTTTCTGTCCTCCAAGTCTCTGTGTCTGTCGCGCTCGGGGCTTCTTCGTCCCCAGTCTCGCCTGTCACGATTACCAAGCCGCTCGTGATCTCGGTCGTCGTTGCGGTTACCGTAGCGCTCACGATCGTTTTCTACCCGATTTCCAAAAGATCTCCTTCCAAACCTCTCCTGGTCTCTGTTAGGCGTGAACGTCTGCCTGTCATTCCTAAACTGCCTCCCATCTCTGTTATCCTCGGGTCCGCCTGGCCCCCCGCTTCCCGGCATCCCCCCGGGTCTCACAAAGTGACCCGGCGGCGGGAAAGGGGTTTTCATTCCGTGGGGGGGAGGCATCCCAAAGCCCCCCGGCCCCGGCGGGGGCCCTCTGTGCATCATGTGGGGAGGCATGTGTCGCGGCGGCATCAAGGGAAAGCGCTGCAGAGGGGGCGGTGGCAT